AATTATAAAGTTATATTTTCAATAGAGAGAGAGAGAGAGAGAGAAAGAAATATCCATCGATAATGACTGATACTTCCAATGCTATATGGACTAAAATTATATTTCATACCTATAAGAACAATTTGTGAAATTGAACCTAAGCAAGGACAATTAGCAGAGAGGATAATTGGCCATGCGACAGTATACTTCCTCAATTTTATGCCTAATTTTAGCTATTTCATATTTGTCACCACTCGAGTTCAGTTATTCAAATGGCTTGTAGCTAATTTAGAGAGAACTAATTTTATAGCTATTTTTATCTTATTGTTTCGTATTATCACATTCCTTATCATAATCAACTGATAAAATATTTACAATCGCTTAGAGATAAGAATATATCCTACATATAATTTAATATTATTAATCTAAGATTTAAAAAAATTTATAAAGTTTTTTTCATAATTAAATTAAATCAATCTTTTGTAGATTTTATTATGCAATTTTGCAAAAAAAAAAAAAAAAAAACATTTTAATGGCTAACATTTTTCTTATTAATAAAAAGTTTTCTTTTCAGATTTTTTTTTTTTTTTTGCAATGAATATAAGTGAATTCCGTCAGTATGGTAGACAGATGATTGATTTTATAGCAGATTATTGGGAATCGCTCCGAAAAAGAACTCCGTTACCGGATGTGAAACCCGGATTTATGAATAAATTGGTACCATTATTGTTTTATAGAAATAGCAAACCATGAAGTATGGTTATGGGTAGAAAGAATACTTTACAGAATGCTTCATGAATTCCGGGCATCTTATTATTTCCTTTTAATACAATGTATTGCAATTTTTGCGAAATTCCATTAAAATCGTTTGAGCACCTTATCTGAAGTACCGCAACATGCTCCTGTCATGGGTGAATAATTTGAGGTACCGCAACATGCTCCTGTCATGGGTGAATAATTTGAGGTACCGCAACATGCTCCTGTCATGGGTGAATCATTTGAGGTACCGTAAGATGTTCCTGTCATAGGAATAATTTGAGGTACCGCAACATCCTCTCCTCCTGTCATGGATGAATAATTTGAGGTACCGTAAGATGTTCCTGTCATAGGAATAATTTAAGGTACCGCAACATGCTCCTGTCATGGGTGAATCATTTGAGGTACCGTAAGATGTTCCTGTCATAGGAATAATTTGAGGTACCGCAACATGCTCCTGTCATGGGTGAATAATTTGAGGTACCGCAACATGCTCCTGTCATGGGTGAACCGTGGGAGAAAATCTTCAATGATATCGATGAAGTGGTCATCAATTACAACACCCATTGGCACCATCCTCATTTTTTTGCTTACTTTCCAACCGGTATTTCTTATCAGTCTATCATGGGCGATATCCTTAGCGGTGGAGTCGCAAGTATTGGATTTAGCTGGGTAAGTTAAACTATTTAAATTAAGTAAATTAAGTTTCAGTTCAGTTTTCAAAGTTATGTAAATATTATAAACGAAATAGCATAATTTTCCGGAATTTCTAATTCAAGTAAAAATAGCCATTGATTGATGGCATATAAAATTTCCAGCAGTCATCACCTTCCATGACAGAACTCGAAATTTCAATGACAAATTGGCTAGCTAAAGCACTAGAATTACCGGCAGAATTCCTGAACACCGAGAACGGATCCGGTATAGGAATCATTCAAAATACTGCTAGTGATGCAACTTATTTGGCAATATTAGCAGCCAGAGGACGAGCTGTAGAAGTATTATTATTTGATGAATAATTAATATTTTCATTTTATCTTTTTTTTTTTAAACTAAACTCAAATGTTTTTTGTTTCTCTCTCTCCCTCTCTCTCTCTCCCTCTCTCTCTTGTAGAATCAGAATCGATTGCAGCACAAATTTGAATTGAATTTTGAATCTGAATTAAATCAATTGCAACAATTGCAAATATACTTTTTCAGTGTATCAAAGTATCCGAAGATAAAATCATTGGTCAAGAATTGCAAGTTATTTCAGATGGTACTGGTGAATTATGTTATTATTCATATCATGATGCGACAATTATAAGCAAATTAGTTGCTTACTGCTCGGATCAGGTAATCCTGAAAATTTGACATTAGGAAAAATAATTTAAAGAAAGTAGAAAAATTGAACGGATGAGAAAAGGCATGAAGAGAAGCAAAGAAAATTGAAATGAAAAGAAGGATGTCTCTTTTCTTTAAAAAAATTTAAAAAAAAGAAAAGTATTTAAAAAAAAAAAAAAATTATTTAAAAAAAATTTTTAAAAAAAAAAAAAAAAATTATTTATTTGCCAAATAAATCCTATTTAAGGCTCATTCATCAGTAGAAAAAGGTGTTATGTTAGCAGCTATGCGCTTACGAAAATTAAAAACTATACGTGGTGGACCTTTTGATAATTTTTTTGTCACTGCAGAAACTCTTGAAAAAGCAATAATGGTAAGTTTGAAAAGTTAAGGAATTATGCATTTGTTTATTTTATTTTTTTTTTTTTTAAAGGTGTTTAATTATTATCTAATTTGAATTCTCAATTGCTAAAGCATTTTTAACTTGTAAACATGAAAGAAGGAAACAAATAAACAAAAAAAAAAAAAAGAAATGAAACTTTAAGATTGATCGCCAGAATGGTTTGGTACCATTTATATTCATTATGACATTGGGTACCACATCAAGTTGTGGTATGGATCCGATAGATAAACTTGGACCAATATGTAAGAGAGAGAACATTTGGATACATATTGATTCTGCATATGCTGGTAAAGTTATTTAAATTAATTTAATTAATTTCAAAAAAAAAAAAAAAGCTAAAGTGTAAATTAAATTAAGAAAAAAAAATGAATTGAAAACTGTTTTTATTTATTTTTTGGTATCGTTGCTATTCCTTCTATTTAAAATATATAATATTAATTTAAAGTAGAAAATTGAAATTGAAGAGAATATTGCAGGCGCATTTTTACTTTGTCCCGAATATCGTTATTTATCTCGTGGATTTGAATATATTGATTCTTTCAATATGAATGCTCACAAAGCATTACCAATAAATTTTGATTGCTCTCCGATGTGGTATTTATTCTGTTAATTGTCATTCTAATAATTATGACAAATAAATTTTGGAACAAGCATGTAATAACAATAATAATAATAATGATAATAATAATAATAATAATAATAATAATAATAATAATAATAATAATAATAATAATAATAATGATAATAATAATAATAATAATAATGATAATAATAATAATAATAGTAATAATAATAATAATAATAATAATAATAATAATAATAAATAATCAAAATCTTTTTCTTGGATGAGAAAGTAAAACCAAAAAAAAAAAAAAAAAGAAAAAGCATCTCTGATATGTTTAAGAAATTTGAATTAATAAGAAAATTTTATTTCTTTTATTTCTTCTAAAATTTATGAGAAATTCGAATTTTAGGTTTAGAAATGGGAAAGAAATATTGAAATACTTTGCAGTGAATCCGATCTATTTAAAATATAATCAAACTTGTGCAATTGATTATCGAGTAATTTCTCTTTTCAATCTTACAGTTTACGATAATAAGAAATATAAAAGAGTAATGTTTGAGATTTCAGATTAAGTGTCTTTTTATTTGTAATTTGAAAAAAGAAAAGAATAAGAATAGCTTTACAAATAATATTTTTTTTATTATATGTTTTAGCCAAAATCATAATTTACTTATTATCTATTAAAAGCTCTTAGCTATTGTGTTTTACTGCCACTTTTATTAAGATTTTATCACGGAACACAACTAAGCTTTTATATATTCTTTTACATATTCTAACTGATAGTAATTGCTTGGAAGAGTTAAATTTAAAATTCAATTTTAAATGTCCTTTAAAGGTTCAACAGTGCATTGACTGTATTTAAAGGAAGTATTGTAAAGAAAAACAGATTAAATTCAACGATGCTTTTTAAATTATAATTTTAGCATTTTCAAATAGCTCTTGGAAGAAGATTTCGATCGTTGAAAGTATGGTTTGTGCTACGAAATTTTGGCATTTCTGGATTGCAGAAGCATTTAAGAAAGGTTTCACTTAAAATTTTCACTTCTATATGATTCATTTATTCTTCTGAAAGGTCAATTTCTTCCTTCCTTTCAGTTGTTAATAATTTTATAACAATCATCCTAAATGACAGATGGTTGACCTGGCAAAGAACTTCGAAGCATTCATCCAAGAAGATCAACTGCTTGAACTATTCGTACCACGAACTTTGGGAATGGTATGCTTCCGTTTAAAGGTTTGTTATGTTTCAAAAGAATTTCCAGTCGAATTTTCAAACAATAAAATCGTATTTGCAAGTTATGCAAAATATATTCTTATTATATGTTCATATAGGATTCAACAAATGAGATGAATGAGGAATTAAATCGTAGAATCAACGAAGATCGTCGTATCCACCTGGTAGCTTCCGTTGTTCACGGAATTTATTTCATACGTTTTGCAGTGTGCAGCACATTAACCACATATGAAGATATAAAACAAGCGCACTCGATCATTCATAATTTTGCTAAAGATATACGAAGAGATGCGAAAAAAATATTAAAATGATATGAAACAATACTTGTCGTGAAGTTCAAATATAAATGTACGTTATCTGTTACTTCACTAAGTTCTAAAGATTGTATGGAACACAGAAAACCAAGTTATGCACATGGAAGTGCATTTACCAATATTCCTTCTAAGCAAATGCTGCCAAGAAAAGGCTTGATCTTCACATCCAACAAAATTTTGGATTTATCTTATTTCTTTATTTTCGTCAATAGTCTATAGAACCAAAATCAGCATTTCAACATCAAATGAAATTGAAACTTCAACAGAACTAGAAATTTCCACAGTTTTCTTTTAATGGCAATACTGAATCACCTATTCTCTCCAGTTCCCCAGAACTGATGCAATCAAACTGTGAATTAAAAACTGAATGTAAACAATGTTACCTTTATCAGAAAAATAACAAAAATCACTTTCCAAAACAAAAAATCAAATCATCTTCTTCAGCAGTGCATTTATCTGATCTTCACGATTACCGAAGTCACCACCTTCAACGAAATGATTTGTCTTCTTCGTCCAGCCACCTGACGGATTATTCAATTTGAAAGGCCATAGGAAATTGGTAGCACGCTTGAAATAGGGACCCACATTGAAGATATGATGCACAAGGTCTTCCATACAAATTATATCACATTTTCCTGAAATTTGTTGATAAAGAAAAACAAGAGAACAATTATTCCAAACATTTCGATGTATTACCTCCAATATTACGAATCCACAATGTGATATATGTATTACCTCCAGTATTACGAATCTTTCTGAATCATTTTCCGTAACTGGTATAAGACATTAAAAAAAAAAAATCATCTTTGATATATATCTACAGCCTGTTTAAGATTTTGGAATCTTGAAATCAAAATTACTGATAAAAATATATGTACATAACTCGAAAACTTACCAAGCGCACTTTCAACAATAGAGTTGTCCGTAATTGGTATACGTCGACCATTAATTTTCGCGTAACCACGCTTATAAATTAGGTCATGAACCGTTTTCATACTTGGATATCCCCATGCAACATACGGCTCCACAATACGCAACATTTGAAGAGTAGCTTTGTTCAGTTTGATAAAAACGCCATTGTTTATTTGTCGTAAACGGAAGAGTTGCAGAACCTTACGCGGTCGCGGGTGCATTTGGTTGATACCACGAATTCGGATTACGAATGCAAGACGGGCTTCATCAGGAACATAGAAATTGCCTGCTTTTCTAGCTTCACGCTTTAACTGAATTTCTTGTCGCACACGCTGTCTGTGTTCTTTTACATATTTTTCAGCACGCTTGAAAATCTCAAGCTTCTTCTTTTTCGCCTTCTGAAAGGAAATGTGTTGTTCAAATGCTCCAACGTACGCAACATCACGTAGGAATGCAGAGCTTTTAAACAATTATAAGAACTAAAGAGAATATATTCATGCAAAACATTAGGCAAATGAACAAAAATCCAGCAAACACTGTTATAATAAAGCAATAACAAACCAAAGCAAGCTTGGCTTTCCTGACATTCAGTTTAGCTCTTTGCTCTGCACGCCGTTTTCTTCGTTTTAGTATTGTCTCCGGCACCGCAGGAAGCTTCTTCCTAAAATTTCACAATTAAAATATGATTAATACAGATTAGCCGATGGTCTATAGCACTATAAAGTATCTTTAATAAAAATAGTAGTACAGTACTGACTACTGACAGAATCAATTTCTTCACCTCATTTCACCACTAATGATTAATTAATTTTGAAATCCCTAATACAACAACTATATTTCGATTATCTGTCCATTATTTGTTCAGCTTTATCCTGATTTATGAAAAACAACAACCAATGAATTTCTGCTCTCTTAATTAGGTTTATTGCGAATAATGACTAAGAATATAAAAATGATTAAGAATCTTTTTTAATTAACTCTTTTTTCAATCAAAGAAATGTTAAAAATAGAAAGATACTAACTCAGTTGTGGTCGACGTGTCTCCCATGTTATCCTGAAACCAAAAGAAATCAATATAGCATAATTAAGACAACAATACACTCTTTATACTCGAGTAGCTTCCCTCCTCTCCCGCGAGAGATGGAAACATTTCCTCGCAACTCATTTCCCAAAAACCAGAATATCACAACTGTCAAAGTGTTACAATGCAACGAATATGAAAATCATTTGTCTCTTCTACTGAAGACTGTATGTTACCGTACTTTTTAATTTTAAGATGGAAAAGGAGTTGCGATAACTTATGGAAGAGGTCAAATAAATGAGAACTTGTTGACTTTAATAGTTTAAAAAATGTTTTAAGAGATTAGCAGGAACACTTTTATCTTTTATAGGGCAATTCTTTATGCTTATAATTTCTCATAATGTGTCATCATGACCTTTTTGTGAAATCATTAATATGCCTATACACATCTAATCATTAAATTAAATTAAATGTCTTATCTCTAATCATAGAGCCTTGCATTATGCTCCATAGCAATCATTCAATGATTGTTAGATTTGTTTGTTTTATTTGCTATAATTTAAAGTAAAAATGTTGAGTAGTTTGTAAGTGATATTTGTCATATGTTTGAAATGAAATTCGATTAAAACACTTAGTTTCTCTCACCGGAAATGTGTTTTAATTGTTGATTGATGTAACAATTTACTCATTTTTCTTTGGCCTTATTTCGAAGAGAATTTTGATCATTTTGAAAGAGCGCTCGTGAGAATGTCTACAACAGTTTTTGCCTGATTATCTGTCCGATCGATGACATCTCAAGCAAGAAGAGAGTGTGTTGTAAACTGGCTGGGTCGGGTCAAGTCCGGTTGGGTTGAGTTGGGTTGGGTTGGGTTGGGTTGAATTGGGTTCCGTCAGGAGTATCGATGCATAGCAGTGCAATAGTGATGTCGCAGTGATAATATGACATCCAGCATACAGATCAATTTGTATTTGGTAAAATAAATTAAGATTTACTTATCACATAAGCAAAGAGATGTTCTTTTCTTTGAATTATTCTCTTATCACTGATTGCTATGTTTATTTCTTTGATAAATAAGATAAATGCTCTGTTTATCATAGTACAGAATAGTAATACAATTATTGATTAATTGTGAGCGATTATTGATTGATTGTCTGCGATTATTGATTCATTGTCTTTTGTGTGATTGCTTGGCAACCATTTGTTTAACTAAGCATAAAGTGGACTATTTAGCAGATAATATTGTTACTGTTCACTGAGATATCTACTCTGAATATCTTTACTTATTCAGTAAAAGGTAAGTAAGTTTCTTAAGGTTTTTTTTTAAGGCTATTTTGTCACTTAAATATCAAGTATTAGATATTTTAGATAATATAAGGATTTCAAGATGAGTAGTTCTTCTGTTCAGTAGTAGTTGTTTACGTATGGAAAGATCATAATTTTCCATTTTCCCTATCAAAGAGCTTGAAAAGATTTTTAATGAAGATGGTCTCTTTTTAAGGACATTCAATAAATTCTAGAATAGAAGAAAAATAAAGATATTTAAAAGTTTGCTTTAATAGTTTAATAGTTCAGCTATTACCTGTACATTTATATTACCTGGTCAGGACACAAGCAGACAAAAGTATTGTACAACGCATATTTTATTGCTGTGAAAGCTTAGTTGAAACAAATATCTGTATCCGTTGTTCAGTAAAAATTATCGATTTTGTAAATTGGAGAGAAAGTTATTTGATGGCAAAATTTAAATAAATATTATGAGGTCATTTATTGTTTGTTTGTTTTATGCCTAGCTTTTAGTATAGATAACATTATTTACTATTCGTGGCGTGTTTTAAATTGTATCAAGATGAAGCGCAAAATGTCATAGATTAAAACAATAAAAGAAAATTGCAATGTGAAATTTGTTTTGCTGGGCGTATACATTTATGTGAGTAGGTAGTAGTAGTTGTTGTACTTATATCTGAAATATTTGTTGACAGAAAGCTATTCAAATACATCTTCATTTCATTGGAATTCGTTTTTTTATTTTTTTAGTTTTAATTAAATAGAGCTCTATATTAGTTGAACCAGTATTTTGCTTCTGCTCTGTTTTAAGTACTTTGTGACAGAAAAGCTTATCTGTTCATTCGTACAGTTTGTTGCTATCATTATGTTTTTGAGAATTTCAAGAGAGAAAGAGAAATATTTCCAACTTTTGGTCACTAATGCTATGATTTCATTCACTAACTTTTGTGTGTACTTTTTTTTTTTGTCCACACTTTTCGATTAATAATTTTGATTTTGACTTCAACAGGAAGCAGTCGTTATTTCCATTAAGTTCATTAAATTATATGAATCTTATTGGAGTTCTCAGGAAAAAAAAGTATTTTGTGTTAGTGATCAAGAAATATATGAGAGGGTAAAAAGATGGATGAATTACTTTACTTACTGGTGATCATATAGACTGCAGTACGTGATAATATCTTTTTCGTCAATTCATTTTCATCGTTTACTTCATATAAAGTTTTTTTTATTAACGCTTGTTTATCGTTGCTACTGTTTCTAGAATATCGATAGAAGTATGGGTTCACGTGATGATGAATACGATTACTTATTCAAAGGTTTGTGTTTTCTCTCAAAATTTTCGCTTCTGATTAAGGGAACTAAAAGTACCAGGATATAAATTTTATTAAATAAATTGAATGTTGTGTTTCGTCCTTGACTTCATCATATCATTTATCTTTCTGTAACAGTATTTGCAGAGATTGTTGTACTTTTTTGGGGGACATGAACCAATTAAAGAAGATGATGCTGAAGCTATTGTAGGGACATCTTATTTCAATATTCTTATTATATGCCATGTTATTGGGAAAAAAAAGTAATATTTCCCATGCTTAGCACAGATTTCTATTGTAGTTGTGTTGATTGGCGATTCTGGTGTTGGCAAATCCAATTTGCTATCACGGTTTACCCGAAATGAATTTAATTTGGAGTCGAAGTCAACAATAGGCGTCGAATTTGCGACAAGGAGTATACAGGTTTGATTTGATGTATAATGAAGTTTGATTCTTGTTTCTAATAAAGAAAGGGGTGATGTTGAGTATTGTCTTGCTTCTTCAATTTTTTGTGATAGTTTTCATCTTTAAATTAGATATGGCTGGTCCCAGACATTATTTTATCTACTTTTTTCCATCTTTCCGTAGTCAGTCAAGGTTGAAAACAATTCTTTCTGACAGCAATTAATTTATGAAGCATTCATCTTCAACATTTATCGTTTACATATTATGTTTTGGGATAGCTCCTCAATCAAACTAGCTATGAATCTTAACCAGCTAAACTTCATGTAACATTACTGATGTTAAGACATCTTGATCCCTAGTAATAAGACACTTGATATCACTCAACTAAGTAATTTTGCTAGAATTTGGTCGTTTCTACGGAAGTTTTGCTCATATTAGTAAAGAATTGCATTGTTTCAGTATAAAATAAGTGGTGCACTGTTATTCATTGCTTTTCACTTTTTTAGTAAATGTAATAGTGAAACAAAGATTAGATTTTGCTAGTAAAAGGATGATTATTTTAATTCAGTCAGTAGTATTATGCTAATCATCCAGTTTCTTTGCACGAGTTATAATAAATATTGTTCATGTAAATTCATGTAAGGTTCGACTTTAATTCAGTTATATAACTCAACTTATGTATGCTTTATTTTTTCTTTTTCTTAAATATTTCAAATTATAGGTCGAAGGAAAAACAGTGAAAGCTCAAATATGGGATACAGCAGGACAAGAAAGATATCGAGCAATAACGTCGGCATATTATAGAGGTGCTGTTGGTGCGCTTTTGGTGTATGATATTGCTAAGCATGTTACATATGAAAATGTTGAAAGATGGCTCAAGGTGTGTTTCTCTTTTCTCTGTGACAGTCTTCATTATTTCTTAAAGGTGAAATACTTATATTTGTTGAAACATCTCTCCTATGCACCGACGCTTTGAAGAATAACAAACTATCAACTTCTCATTGTCAGGTGCCACTTAGGGTTAGGTTACTACACTCAATTCTTAATAAATCTACTCAGCATTGTAGGTTAGGGTATAATTTTTCCAGGAATTACGTGATCACGCAGACCAAAATATAGTAATAATGTTGGTTGGAAATAAAAGTGATCTACGTCATTTGCGTGCAGTGCCTACAGATGAGGCGAAAGCTTATGCAGAAAAAAATCAGTTGTCATTCATTGAAACTTCTGCACTCGATAGCACTAATGTGGAGGCTGCATTCACCAACATTTTAACTGAGGTAATTAACTAGTACTTTGTGAATGGGATTTGATGAAAATGAAGATATAACTTCAAAATTATCAGATTGGTTGAACAACTTAAGGATTAAGTGATTTGTTATATATTTTCCAAGTCTGTTTCATAAGAATTATATATGCTATTTACAGATCTATAAATCAGTATCCGTGAAACATGTTGGTGGTGATAATCGGGCTGCAATCTCTACACCAGGCTCGAATGGTATAGTAATATCGCCAACAGCTGAGCCTCAAACTAAAAAGCAGTGCTGTTCCAGTCTGTGATCCACGCAGACTCCCTTCCTTCCCACCATCCAAAAAAGTAGCAATAGTTATTTACGGGCTTGGCGGTTCCTTTTAGTATCTCTGTCCATCTTTTTCGTTTGTTTGCGGCTTTTATTTTTACCTGGAACAGGACAGATTCACTTCTTATTTGTTCTTTTTTTTTTTTTCTTTGTTACCCGTCCATTATAATTGTAATCTTCAAAATGCTTTACAGAGAGATCTTTCGTAATGTCGTAGCACATCTGTAGGTTTGTTGTGCCGCGGTTTATAGTTTTCTTTCCCTGGATTAGTTTTGTACATTGAAGGTAAAATAAAGATATTTGAACAGCATACACAGAAATCCTGAAAAAACAAGTCAACATTTTCCTGACTGTAGTAATTGAGGTAATATATAGGACCGTCATGCTTTATACTGGAGTAGGTCAGGCAATCGATCGTCGTTGAAAACGTTTCAGAATCCACTTGCCTTAACCATTTGTCCGTTCATTTTTTTTTTTATTCGATTACATTTGTAATGAAAATGTGATTTACTATTATTCCTGTTTTTTTTTCATCGAATATTTCCTTATAAACTCTATCTTTTCATGTTCTTTACATTGTCATTAATTTTTTTGAATCATACATACAAAAGAACAAATTTACCATTATCATCTTTTTCTTTCTTTTTGTGTGTGTGTGTGTGAAGGGAGTGGATCGATGAAAATACAGAATAAGTTTTACTTTGTTTTATAGAGATATGATCAAGAGTAAAGTGATCAATCTTTTTTCTTTTCCCTTCCTGCCCTAATACATAAATTTCATTTTCATTTGCAAATAAATAAATGTTCAACAAATGCGTTTATGTTCATTTTTCAAGCCTTATTTTAAACTAAATTAATAAATCTATGACTGCAAAAGATCATTTTATATTATCCTTTTTCCGTTACATATATTTATCATTTATCATTTGCATCATAGAAAAGGTTACTCATAACCTTGTAACAATATTATAACCTTTATAAGTAAGCAGTTTATAATAAAAAGACTCATCTATTGTTCATCATTTAATTGCTAATAATAAGTGATTACTTTAATTTTTCATTTATAAAATTTTTATTCATCTTAACAGTGCAAAATGTTCATATGATCAAAATAGTATGAATATATTCTAATATTTAATATTGTTGATTGCATTAAGAGATATCGATCTAAAATGCCATAAAATGATGAATGAGATAAGATGTATGACAGATCAGAGTTGAATGAATCATTCATTGGTCTAAATGAATATGAGAATTGATCAAAGATGAGATTGAATGCTATGCCAATCGTTTTAGATCTGATTTGACCTGAATTTAAATAATTTCATCTACTAGTACAGAATGAAAAGTAGTTGTTGTGCAATCCGTTGTGGTCTAGTGGTTAGGATTTGCGGCTCTCACCCGCAAGGCCCGGGTTCGATTCCCGGCAACGGAAGCGACCATTTTGCAATTTGTAAAATTACTACCGAAATCTTTCTCGGAAATCAAAAATACTCCAAATTTTATTATTCATTCAGGTTAAGATAAAATGTTTGAAAATATTGTTTTTGAATTAGTTTACAGTTTTAATTTATAATTTTCAATTTGTTAATTCGTAGTTTTAATGCTTTAAGTAAAATTGTTAACATTACTAAAATTTAGTTTTAGAGTTGCTTGTATTAAAATAAAAAAAAAAAAACTTGTTTTTGAAGGCAATGACAAACGAATGAATTATTTTTAAATTCTATTTGCAAGAACTATTTGGATATGATAATTTCAACTTTTCTTGATCTATTTTTGGATTAAAATGATCTGATCATTACGAATTTTCTATCTTTGATGAGAAAATATTTTTTGCAATTGGTAATGCATAAGAATGCAATGAAATGACACAATTCTTAGTGTTTCATTAATATGTGTACAATAGAAATTTGTATGAAAACGATAAAGACATTATCATCAAATAATTTAAGGAAAAATTTTTGTAGGACAGAAATGATGAAAAATGGTACAATTCCGCCTTTATTATATCAGTGAATGTGTTCTGTTGTCAAATTTAAACTCTAATCTGTTATTGGAAACAATTCATACATTTCATGTGTAAATCTCAGGAATGTTTGTAAAATAGAATGAATTTAATGGTATAAAATTTAATGCAATAAATTTAGCAAATACTTAAATTTCTAAAGTAAACTAAAATGAAAATAGTTATCAGTAAAAAAAAAAAAAAAAAAATTCCATTGAATAGTAAACAATGATGTAAATTTAGTGATAGAGTTGAGTTTTTTCAAATTTTAATGTTTATACTTTATTCTATTTGATAATTTATTTCAAATTAATAATTGCATGAAAAAAAATTTAACAAAAGAAAAAGAATGCTTAAAAAAGCGAAAATTGAAATGTGAGATTTTATTGCTGTTATTTTTCGAGACAAACTAATTTTACAATTATTTCACAAAAATGAAATTATTATATCAGTGAAGCAAATTTATTTCTTCATTAATTGAATTAATTAAATAATTAATTAATTAATTTTTTTCCACCTGGAAAATATTTATTTGGTTAAGCGTGAATGAAATGAATTACTGTTTTATTTCTCTTCCTGAAAATGCTATTCTTTGATCTCTTCTTTTTTATTTTTATTTTTATTTTTTTTTTTTTGTGGAATAATTTTTCATTTAAGAATGATTCTTGTTTGTTTCACTAAATTGATTAAATTTGATAGAAAGGATTACGGTAACTTCCGTTTTACTTTTTAGCAATAGCAAATTTTTCCTCTCTCTCTCTCTCTCTCTCTCTCTCTGTCATTGTTTTTACGTTCTCATTTAGCTTCAATGTAAATTAAATTTAACATTTTGAAAAACATACTGCTTTTGCATGTAAAATAATATTGTAAAAAATATATTTTGTATGATTCGTTGACAATTTAATTTCAAATTTCAATTTCAAACTATTAGTATTATTGATCTAATAAAAAAATATGATGGATATAATAGATTTTAAGTATATTTTGTTGACAATTCTGTTGACAATTTTGTTTTGATTAAAAAAAATTGCAATAATTTGGAAAGGAAATTAGTTATTTACAATTTTTTTTCTCTAATATTTTTATATATTTAGACTTTTAAATGATGTAAAAAAAAATTTACAAAAAAAAAAAAAAAAGAATAGGTGTGAAAGATTTAAATTATTTCAATATAAAGTATGAAATGAATCATTGTTACTGATAATGTTCATTTAAAATTCAAATAAAATATTAAAAAAAAAAGAAATATATATATATTTTCTCAGTTTATATGTGATATTAACATTCCAATATGAAATAATTGATAAAAAAAAAAACAGAAAAGTAAACAAAATATTAATGAAATAATCATTTATGTAATCATTTATTATAAAAATTAAGTTTTTTTCATGTTTTTTATAGTTATTTTATATTTGAATTCATGAAAATTCATTATTTCTTCATAATTTCCATTTAATTATTTGTCATCCATTTTAAATAATTTTATTAAATGTCACTTTTATTTATTTTCAACATTTCATTTGTTTGTTGCATTGTTTACAACACAAAATAATTGTTTAAATGAGAAAAGTATTTCATATTTTATCAAAAAATTTTAATTTAAAATTTTGTTATCAAATAAACATAAACAAAACTTTTTCATACTAATATTAAATATTATAATTTATTCTTTCTTTCTTTTTTTTTTCACCTAACAATTTAATTATTTTCTTCATTTATTATCAAATTTCGTATCAAAAAAAAAAAAAAAAATTGTTGAGCAAATCTTGCAAAAATATCCTTCGATCAGCATTGCTCCGTTAATTTCTACCTTTGTGACGCCAATATTTGTCATTTATGGAGACAAAAAAAAAAAAGAAATTATTGGTTGAAATGAACTTCGAGAATAACGAGAGTAAACTTTTTTACCTTTTCTTTTTCATATATGTATAATTATTTAAAAATCATTTTAAAATTAAAAAAGGAAAAAAAAAAGTTATACTATTAAAAATTAAAAAATTGATATCAATAAGTTAAAAATATAATAATTTATAAGCTAAAAATATCTAATTTAAATCATTTATGTGAAATTTACATAATAGTAGGGAAAAAAAAAAGTTTATTTAATTAATATTTAAATATCAAATTTAACAACAACAACAAAAAAAAAAAAGGAGAAGGGGACACTTTAATGATGACCTTGTTTTTTTTTTTGAAGGATTTAAATCATTCAATAAATGTAATAAACATTTTTCTCTGCCACTTTTCTATTTTTTTATTATTTTTTTTCTTTTAAACTATCATTTATGTTTATTATAGTTTTTAATAATAATAACTCAAAATTGCATTTAAATTTTACATTTTCACTCAATAATTCATACATTTGCGCATTTTTCACATAACATTTATACTGTTTAATATTCAAAGTGACAAATGAGCATAATTAAAATTTTTTTTTTCTTTAAATTTTCACATTTTAGACTTAAACATTTAAATTTATTAAATTATCTAATTTCATTGATATGTGAGCTAATTTTTTCAATGCTTTAATTAATACTGTCAATGTGAAAAAAAATAATAATAATAATAATTGAAATATCTTGAAATTAAAAATTATTAAATTTTGTGATTAGAATGAAACAAAATTTTTTTGATAATCAAGAATTGTTATTATTATTATTTCAAGTGATGCAGTTAATGTCATATACAAAAATATCAAAAGATAAAAGATTCTGAGAAAGATGACAATTCAAGAATTTTAGTTTAATAATAATCAAGAAGACAGCTATCCCCATTTAAATAATCATTTGACTTAAAATTGAAATTGGAAATTGAAATAGTTATGAAAAAAAGTGAGTAAATATTTTTGGAGAAATTTTTTTATATGCTATATTACATTAATTACTTTTTACTTTCAGAGATATATGTATGATTGAATTGAATCAAATTTTAAATGAATTATTCATTTTTTAATTTTATATGAAATTAACAAGTTT